AGCCTCTAGTGGCTGTCTCATTGACAGCCACTAGAGGCGCTTGTGTGCTTATCACTGTGATTTTCACAGTGAGAGCACGCCAGCGTCCATAGGAAAGCATTGTAAATGCTTTCCTATGCGACCGGCTGAATGCGCGCGCAGCTCTTGCCACGCGTGCGCATTCAGCCGACGGGGCGGAACGGAGGAGGAGAGAAGGAGGAGAGCTCTCTGCCCAGCACTGGAAAAAGGTAAGTTTTTACCCCTTTCCCCCTTCCAGAGCCCGCGGGAGGGGGTCCCTGAGGGTGGGGGCACCCTCAGGGCACTATAGTGCCAGGAAAACGAGTATGTTTTCCTGGCACTATAGTGGTCCTTTAAGGTTTTATCTATGGGATTTCCTTTTAATCAGGGTAGGCACCTGTCTGCAAGCACATGCCCGATATCAGCATGTTGCAGATGTCTACTAACCTCCTGAAACTTAACATGGCGATCTCCAACAAATAGAGTAGAAAAGGGGGAGAGATCTTGGGTCAGTATTGCCTCTTCGTATACAGCATGGCATGTACGCACACATACTACTACACTGCTTCACACACTCACACACTATTACAAACAGTCCTACAAATACTGATATCCACACCCACACTGCTACCCAAACCCACACCACCTATTATACACTGTAACCCAAATACACACAGCTACACACATACTACTACACATACTACTACACATCCTGCTACTAAAACCCACACTGTTGCATACACTGCTGAACACACAAATACATACAAAGAACACATTATTATTATTAGCATTTGTAGAGCTACAACATATTCATCAGCGCATACCAATTATAGAAAGGAGATATATGAATGCTCTGCTCAATAAGCTCACAATCTATGGGAATTTGAGTATGGGTTTCCCAATTCTAAGTCAGTAAAATTACTCAAACCAGTGTCTGAAATTACTCTAACTGGCCAATATATCAACACACAGACATACACACATACACACATAATTATGCATAAAACTCTGTGTTTGAGTGCATACATTTTTTTTATCATACATAAAAAAACAGGTTGTACTCTTTTTGGTTTAAAAAAGTGTGTGTGTAGGGTGTGAGGGAGGAGGGGGAGATGGGTAAAAATTCAGTGTCTACAGGTGGTTGTAATGTCAATACAACCCTGGCTGTTAATCGAATCTCTGATATGCCTTGAGTAACATTAGTCAACATATGTAACTACCTGAAGCTGACTGTCAACCATATGTTTCATAAATTACAGTGCTCCTGTAAGTATCACAGAGGAACCCAATGATAATAATGAATTTACAGAGAATAGCAAAGTAAACATGATAATATATAAATAAATCAAGCCTCGTCCTAGTCTGCCAGAAATCTTGCTTAAATAAATGAAAAGCATACAAAAGCAAACCAGATGTATAAAAACTACTAATGTTTGTAAGCATGAAAGAATATATACCTTAACTGTATCCAGTGGATGTCCCACAATGACACTAGAAGCCCCTGCAGAAAAATTAGATAAAAAGAGCAAACTGCATGAGAATTCCTAGAACAGTTATTTGTATCTATCTGCTAATTTTAACAGAGATAACACTAACAAAGTCACCTACCTCCAAGACAACCAGCTACAAAATCATCCATTTGGAAGTTTCCCATACTTGAAGTAGCTAACACAAATCAACAAATCTTGACGGCAGTAGATAAGATGAAAATCAACTACATGGCCGCTGAAACGTATTTGTTTTGTACATTATTAGTACCTTTGGACTGAAATAAAGCAAACAGATTTGTCTGCCAGTAGCAGGATTCTGCTCATCTGTTTTGCACTGCTGACTTCCACCAGTTCTAGTTTATGATTGCCAGATTTATTTAGTTTTCTTAAAGCATATTTGCAGTGCTACATTCATTTAGAAAGTAGTTGTGACTATGCTGTATCCTATATCCAACAGATTTCGACAATCCCGATGCATTAGCAAAGTTCAAATTAAAAAACAAAGAAAAAGCAAATATAAACTCATTTAATTTTAAACAAAATAAACCCTTTTAATAATTTGCTAAGCTTTAAATATCTTTCTGAAAATAAATATTATGGAAAGGTCTTGACATTTTTAACCAACTTTGCAATTTGATTCTTTATTGATGACAATACAACTAAAAATTCAGAGATTACTTTAGAATTTCAAATAGACATTCTAAGCTTTATAGCCACTACATCCCATCATAGTGATCAGAGTGTTAGTAGTCCCTGGGCATCATCTCTCTATTCCGTGTTAAAACATTTTTAAAAGGTTTGAGTAAAACTTAGGATCCATAAAGTACACGCAGTCAGGCCACCCTTCAATGTCCCCAATGGGAAGGTTACACTTCATTACCAATATCAATTCTAAACACACACACACACACACACACACACACACACACACACACACACACACACACACACACACACACACACACTCACACACACACACACACACACACACAAAGATTGCCCTTAAACTGTCCCAGTAAAAAATAAGTAATCTTATTGCCTTACTTGGTTGATAAGGAAAATAAAATGAGGGTTTATCTACTAAATAAGGCGCCGTGTCAAGTTGACAATTTTAAGCAAGTGAAAAGAAAAACTCCAGCTCACCTCTCCTGACCTAGAATATACAATGACATTGTCAATTCTGGTTAAGTGTCTAAATCCCATGGACAAACACACACTGAACTCTGGAAACCTGCATAAATCAATCCTGCATGTAAAGCAATGTATAATCCACCCGCTAATGTTTTAGTGCAATATATTTTTATATTTTATTATTTGAATAATTTTATGCAAAAATAATGTTTTTTAAATTTTCATATATATATAGATCTGTTAAAGTTGTGACCTCATATGACCTTGCATTAAAAAAAAAAGATAAACTTAAATTCTGAAAGAAAAGCACTTGTGATCATGGTTAACTTACCATCAAATAAAGCATAAAGCATAAAGTATGAGATGGAAAGGGGAAGAGGACAGGAGGAGTTACAACCCAGGACAGGAAAAAAAATCAACAAAATGCTCAGACTAGCCTTATTTTCTATGTGCACAAAGCAAAACATTACCTTATGTTCAAGGGGTTAATAATTGATGACATTACAATTTTAGTCATACTGGAAAAGTTCAGAATTTCTTTACTGAACAAGTGTACAGCTATACAAATGGTTAAAGTCCAATATGGACCAAGCTCAGTAACATTGTAAGAGACGTAAAGTCCACAGTGGGTGTAAAACTATATGCAATACAAAGCTGTTCATGATATAACTACAAATAAACATGATAATAATCCAGATCATTCTTGGGCTGTAGTCCAACTATTGCAACAGAATATCGGATTATAATAAAGAGGACATACTGAAGTAAACAGAAGTATATCTAGATCTCTAGCATGGGATTCTCAATACCTCTACCTCTACCTTACTAAGTTTTAGATTATAGTGTTTTAAAATAAAAAAGATTAATTATAGAGATAGACATAATAATTTAGACATAACGGAGGTGTCAAATATTTTAACCATGTTGTGGCAGTCAAACAGGGAGCAACTACATTTTAGGAAAATACAAATAAAGCTGCTTTCAGAGTTTTGTTTTTTTTTCATTTTCTTATTATATAGTTCTTCATTTGTGTTTATTACATTTCAACTCCTACTTCTCTAACAAATCCCATATTGAATAATTTTTTTAGGAAATGTTCTGCCAATAAGCAATTTCTGGGAATGCATCACAATACATCCAAATTAGTTACTTGTGTCTTGAAGAAACACAAGATATAAAGAATACATTTATCTCTTGTTTTTTTTAACACAAGGATAGAACATGATGAATTCCTTTGTATTTCATTTGTACTGTTATAAAGAATTCAATGTTCTAAAAATACTGTAGTATTTCCAAAAATAAGTATTCAGTTCTACATTACAAGAGGGAAAGATTACTTGTGGGAATCATCCCCACATTATTCGTTATTCCAGATTCATACAGATTTAGTGCTATGTGAGATATTTACATAGTACCTTATGGCTGTCAGTGTGTGTCTGTTTGCCTGTCAGTGAGTCTGAGTTTGTATATCTATCAGCATGGGCGTCCGCAGGAATTTTTCCAGGGGGGGGGGCATAATTGTAATGACATCCATGCTTGGCCCCTTTTTGACAGTGTCATGAAAGGGAAGGGGCATAGCCATTATCACATAAAGCCAGGGTGAATAGCGTTTTCACAACTATGGTGTCAGGAATATATGTTTGTATTCCAAACACTATAGTGTTCCTTTAAGCAAATTAAAGGACCATTCTGGTCACCATAGCAACTTCACCTAAATGAAAATGCTATGATGCCAGGAAGCCCCTGGGTGCTCGCTTTCCTTTAAGGGGTTAAATCGCTCTCAAATGGTTTGACCCCAAAGGCTTCCTCCAGCTCCAGGTCGCTCAGTGGTATTTGGCTTCTGAAACAGAGTGTCAGGAAGTGCAGATTGACGTCAGGCATGGGTGCCGCTGATTGGCTAGAGTGGACAGTTGACGCTCTAAGCCAATCGTTAGTTCCCGGTTCATAAAATATTTTTACTTTTTTATGAATGGGGAGCTACTGATTGGCTTAGAGTGCCAGCTGACCGCTCTAGCCAATCAGCAACACCCCTACCCAACGGCACTCTGTGCTTCCTGACACTCAGTAAATAAAAGTGTACACATTAATACTGATATTTTTTTACCTTTGGAGATGAGAAGGTCCAGCGTTTCCCTGCCTGGCCCAGGTACCAAAGCCTTATGATATGGTGTCCAGAATAAAGTGGAGGGTTCACTTCATTTGTCCTTCCTGCTCCAATCTCCTTTTCCTCTCCTTCATTTGACAGTCTTTTTTTTTCTTCTGACACTGTTTTCTATCCTTGGCCCCTTCTGCTCTTTTACCTTTCTGCTACGTTCTGCGTATTTAGCGCCCTTTTGCTCCTTTCTCATTCTGATCCCTTTCTGCCCCTTGCAGATCCTTTCTGCTCCTTTTTCTACTTTACCTTTGTACTCCTTCTGATTCTTTCTGCTCCTTTACCTTTGTGCTCCTTCCTGCTCATTCTCCTATTTTACCTTTGTGCTCCTTCTGCCCCTTCCAGCTCATTTCTGACCCTTTCTGCTCCTTCTACTTTACCTTTGTGCTGCTTTACCTTCCAGCTCCTTGCTGACCCTTCCTGTTCATTTCTGTTCCTTTGTGCGCCTTCTCCTACTTTACCTTTTGTGCTCCTTGCTGTCCCTTCCAGCTCCTTGCTGCCCCTTTCTGCTCCTTGATGTCCCTTCCTGCTCATTTCTGTTCCTTCTCCTTTTTTTACTTTACCTTCTTGCTCCTTGCTGACTCTTCATGTAGGCTGTCTCCCTCATCCCTCACTTCCATAGGCGTGCGCACAGGATGTGTCGGGTGTGCCTGGGCACACCCTAATCCCCGCGGCACGCCAATGGATTGAGACCGGCAGGGGAGATCTCTGAATCTCCTCAGTCGGCTCATGCAGAGCCGACGCTATCCGAGCGGCGGCTCTGGTCTAAGCCTCCATGGGCCGGTGGGGAGATCAAAGTTATACCTCACCGGTCCACAGCAGCATGGAGGGAGGCAGCAGAGAACCCGGGCTAGAGTTCACTCTACATTGAACCACCAGGGAAGGCAGCAGGACTGGGATATTAACTAATCTGCCCCCACCTCCACCCAAACATACAGCGCACACACACAGTACCTACACACAGCACACACATCCCACAAACAGCACCCACACACATACTTCACCCTCGCACACACAGCACCCACACACATACAACACCCACACACACCCAGCACACTAACAGCATCCTCACAAACACACAAAACCCACACACAACACCCGCACAGCACCCACACACAAACAGCACACTCACACACAAACAGCACCCTGACAAACACACAACACCCACACACAGCACACAAACAGCACACTAACAGGACCCGAACAAACACGCACACACAAAAACCCTCTCACACACACACACACAGAACACTACCAGTTCCCTCACACACAGCACACAAACAGCACCCTCACACACACACACACTCACAGCAGTGTGTGTGTGTATATATATATATATATATATATATATACACACATACATATACACGTGGCGTGTGTTTGTGCTTTAGGGTGCACACCCTAATGCAATAGGCTGTGCACGCCTATGCTCACTTCCCTAATCTATAGGCTGCTGCCCCTCCAGCCTCACTCCCCTAATCTATAGGCTGCTGCCCCCCCCAGCCTCACTCCCCTAATCTATAGGCTGCTGCCCCCCCCAGCCTCACTCCCCTAATCTATAGGCTGCTGTCCCCCCAGCCTCACTCCCCTAATCTATAGGCTGCTGCCCCCTCACTCCCCTAATCTATAGGCTGCTGCCCCCCCTCACTCCCCTAATCTATAGACTGCCCTCCTCACCCCTAATCTAGGTTGCCCCCCACTCTAATCTATAGGCTGCTGTCCCCCCCCCACTCCCCTAATCTATAGACTGCACCCCCCTCACTCCCCTAATCTATAGGATGCCCTGCTGCCCCAGCCTCCTCCCTAATCTATAGGCTGCTGCCCCAGCCTCACTCCTAATCTATAGGCTGCTGCCCCCAGCCTCTCCCCCCTATAGGCTGCTGTCCCCTAATCGATAGACTGCCCCCCCTAACTCCCTAATCTATAGGCTGCTGCCCCCAACCAGCCTCACTCCCTAATCTATAGGCTGCTGCCCCACCAAAAAAATCTATAGGCTATCTCAAACCCTCCCCCCATCCCTCACTTACCTGATCTGTAGGCTGTCTCTGGCTGCATGTGTTGTTCCTCTGCGGTTTCAATCAGCAGAGAGAAGCAGGGATAAGATGCAGCTTCCTATCCCTGTCTCTCGCCATACCGGTATTGCAGTTCATTTTAAATTTCACATGAAAAATATCAGAACAAACTGAAAAATCCAGGGGCAAGTGCCCCCCTTGCCCCCCCCCCCGCGGACGCCCATGTCTGTCAGTGCCTGTCTGTCAGTTTGTGTCTGTGAGGAAGTCTGTGTGTCTGAGTGACTGTGTGTGTCTGTGAGGGAGTGAGTGTGCCTGTCAGTGAATTTGTGTGTGTCTGTGAGGGAGCATGTGTGTCTTAGTGATTGTGTCTGTCTGTCAGTGTGTGTCTGTGAGTGAGTGTGTGTGTGTGTGTCTAAATGATTGTGTATGTCTGTCAGTGTGTGTGTGTGTCTGTGAATGTGTGTGCGTCTGCGTCATTGGGTGTGTATGTCAGTGTATGCGTGTCTGTCAGTAACTGTGTGTGTTACTTGTGTGTGTCTGTCAGATAGTGTCAAATCAGTGAGTGTATATGTCAGAGTATCTGAGAGTGTGTGTCTGTCAGTCAAAGTGTGTGTTAGTCTTTAACAGGAAGAGATGTGGCCTCGGTAGGAAAGAGTGGGGAACATTTAAATGTCTGCATCATTGGGTGTCTGCGTCATTGGGTGTGTATGTCAGTGTATGCGTGTTTGTCAGTAATTGTGTGTGTTACTGTAAGTGAGTCAGTGATTGTGTGTGTCTGTCAGATTGTGTCAAATCAGTGAGTGTGTGTATGTCAGTGTATCTGAAAGTGTGTGTCTGTCAATCAAAATGTGTATTAGTCTTTAACAGGAAGAGATCTAGCCATGGCAGGAATGGGTGGGGAACATTTAAATTAGAGGGTGCCCAAGTTCCGTCATGCCTAGGGCAGCACAGACCCAAAATACACCACTGGTCAGGAGGGCAAGGAGTTAAGAACTGTATTTCATTGGGAACCCCAACATTATGCAACTGTAAAAATATCTTGTTCATTGATTACTCATCTTTCTTTCTGGAAAATACAATTTATTTTTATAAGAATATATTTTACAATGCTTAAACTCTTATAAGCTAACTGTGATTTACCAAATCACAAAATGTGAACTGTAAAACCATAAGTAGATAATAAGTATATCTGCCTTCCACTCTCATAAAATAAATAACACATGCAGGTCCATTACATCATCAGGTCCTAGTGCTATTGCTCCAAATTGTTTATTTCATTGTGTTAGTTGTTAGTTGTTTATAAGATAGTGAGCCACTAGTCCTCGGTTTGCGTCACTTTAATAATTTTCTAACCCTTCATTGAGCAATTGTAGTGAGATGCAGGAAATTTTTTTTGCCTGAAATCCCTTACCCAACAAATAGACCCAGCTTGTTAAATAAACACTAAAGGCGCCCAAACCTGCTTGCATGCCTTTAGAATGACAATGCATAATGGAAGTGTAGCAGGGCTTCCTGTACCCCGGCTGAGTACCTCCGCCAAGGACTGCTTCCTAGCTGGAACAAGGGACAAACCTCAGCACTCTTGCCCAAAGTCGCAGTGGCTTGACTGGGGTTCTGGAACCGCTCCCTCCTGGAGCCGAATGGAGAATTAGCTTTAGACACCCCCAGGCACTGGAAAACACTCAGTCCTGGGAGCGCTAGTCCTTACAAGGACTTTCTCAGTTGAATCTCCTGCAAGCTGAAGTAAATCTTCTTTCCCTCCAATAACAGGAGGACACACAGTTTTGGAGTAGATTTTAATGGTGCCACACTTGGCCTGATATGACAATCCCCATGCAAGGGATATGCCCACATGGACCTTGTTGGGGACAGGGACACAAACTTACAAAACAATAATAACACTCCCACACGTGACACACAATTCCTCCCCTCTGCTTGGGAGATAATTGGATCAGTAACTGTACTAATTCTAATCCAATTATCTCCTATAATATATATAATATCCTATTATCAAGCACAGAAAAAACATACATTTCTAAAAAGTCCCAATAGTACCCCAAATCACATGATATCCTCACAAAAAAGTTTAGTTCAGGGATTCAGAATTTCTATGGAAGTCATTTATTTGACCGACCGCAGGCATGGTACCATGCCCAAAACAGTTCCAGAGAATCAGAGCTTGCAGTCTGTCTAGTTCGGTAGTTTGAAAACGACCAAACTACTGAACATAGTCAATAGTCTTACCCTGGAGCTTGTTCCCTTCATCTAGACGAATGATCCCACCGAACAATGCCCTTCTAAATTGAATAGAACCGAACGCAGGCGTTGATGGAAGTCCAGCGGTGTTCAGGAGTTTCTGTATCCAATTTCAGTTCCATGAGATTCATGCCCAAACACAGCTGCCTGTGTTCATGCGAACAAGATTGCCGCCTCCTCGTGGTTGTCTATAGGAACTGCGGCCACCCAGACGAACAATTAGAACACTGCATGAGGTGTTAACAAGCTCCAGGGTGGTCTCTGGTTAGTGCGGTTGTTCGGTTAACTAACAATATAATCCCAATTGCAGAGACTTTTACAATATTTATCACAGGGTCCATAGTCTGTGGGCAGGAGGCTGGCAAGCAGACTCCTCCAGGAGCTTGTGGCAAACTCCTGTAAAAAGGGGAGTTTGTCACATGAAGTAGTAGTTTTAAAACATCTGGGGATCACACCTGCAACAGAGGCATGTAAAGCCTGCTATGTGAACATTGCCATTCCTGCATAACAGGCTTAAAACGATGGGCATCACACCCAGACCACTCCATTGAGATGAAATCGTCTGCGTGCCTATAGTGCTTCTTTAATAAACATGTTTGTGTTTTTACAAGTGAGTGTGCTATGCTTTGTGAAAAGGTTTCATAAGGTAACGTGTTAAATGTAAAAGAACTTGGATAAACTATGCCAGATTAATTAAGTTAAACAGTTTTAACGCCTGTAGACTTGCCAGGAATAACTGCAAAGATATGTTGTAATTCTATTTGCTTAATCCAAAGTTTTCAGCTCATGAATTGAGAAAAGTTGAAGATGTATATTAATCCTGTGGGGGGTCAGGGATGTATTGGGAGGGGGGTAGACATATGAGGGGGGGGGGCAGGGCAATTTTTGCACCAGGGCCCTGTGGTTTCTAGTTACGCTTTTGCTTACAGGAGACTCTGATCTAATCAGTGTCCTATTCCTAGTTATAGTGGAAAATAGTATTGCATATGCGTGACTCAGTCGAGCATAAGCAATTGCAAGTGATGTTGAGAGAGCCCGGGAGGTACACTGGTCGTGAATGTGACCTCATGCACATTCACTGTTGGCTCTTCCCCTGGAGCGTAGTGCACAGTCCCAGTCTCTTGCTGCACATGAGTGACTAAGTACATCCATCTAGGTGTGAAGATTGGTCATCACTAG